GGAGCTGAGGGATTCCACCTTCGACACAATCTGATGGCGGGTGCCGCAGGGAGTGCCTTGGCCTTGGCATTCGGCTTCGCTGGAGCTGCCTTCGCTTCGGATTTAGCTTTAGCTTTTGCCTTTGGTTCCGGAGCTGGGGTAGCTGCTGCCTCATGCTTAAAAGGACAATTCTCTCTTGAGCACGAGCCTGTGTTCTTGAACGAGTAGCATATCCTGTTTCCTCCTCCTCCAGATGGACTTGGAGTTCTCGTCCTCGGCGTAAAGGGTCGCTCTGGAGTCTTCTTCGAGTGACTGAATGGGCACTTGTCACCATTTCGACACCTTGCATCTGTGAAATGGAACTTGCAGCGGATTTGCTTCTTGCTCTTGTCGCCTCTGTTGTCCGCTGACTCACTCCTCGTCTTCTTCTTGGGCTTTGGCTTTGTCTTCGCATGACTCTTCGCTTTGCTTTGAGGTAGTACAGGTGTTGCTTTATCCGGCTTGGTCGGCGAAGCCTTGACCTTTGCGGATGGAGCTGCGTTAGGCGGTGGTTTCTCGGGTACCTTGGCCGGTGCAGCAAGCAAATCCTTGCCCTCAAGCATCTGGCGCAAGCCAATTTGGGTCTGAGTGAGATTTGACTGTTCTCGTCTCCGCATGATAGTACGGTCAATGATCTTCATGAGGTTGTCGTACGATCGGTCTTCATGATTGTAGGGCAAGTGTTCGTAATGCATGCCCAACTCCATCTTCATTGCGGGCGAGTCCTTGATCTTGCTGTACAAGCAATCACGGAGAGCTGGTTTGGATGGAATGTCCTCTGGTCTCATCCGTCCCAGAACTTCCAACCACGTCTGCTTGAACGTATGAAGCTTGTTGTCGCCTTGGTACTGGAGCTTCACCAAATACTCAAGAGTGATGATCATGGCGAGACGATCGTGCGTTCGAAAACTTTCATACATCATCGCAATGATTTGTCGTCCTTTGATGATCTTCCCGTCGGGCCTGCGGATGTAATCGTTAGCCTTCCGGTTCACCTCAAGGTACAGGTCAGCTGATTTGTCACCACCGGCACGTAGCATTGCGACCATGGCGATTCCCAATTTGACGTCTATGCTCTTGAACTTCTTGTGTCCTGAATCATTCAATGCTTCGACATCAGGGAATGGGTTGAACGCTGGTGCCAGCCATAACATCCAGTCCTCATGATGTGGGTCGGCTGATGCTCCTAAGACATTGGCCGTGCACACGGATCGCCAGTTGTTGAGATGAGTGAGAGTAGGCCATGGAGGTACGGTCACTTTGTCGGCCTCCCTCCTGGAAATTCTCACTTCCGTGACTTCAGGATCTGCGTCTCCATCAGGATCACGCGCATGAGATCCAGGATCCGATTCAGGTTTGCCTCCACCGCTTTTCTTCTTATCATCATCATCGTCAGGCGGGTCAGGAGGGTCATACCTCGTGCCGGTTCCTTCGTCGTGCTCTCCATCTTCGTTCTCGTCGCCAGCCTCGTCACCGTCATCGTCTCCATTATCCTCCTGAATCGTTTCAGCGAATAACTTCCACTCATCACGATCAGCTCTGAGACGTTGTTCGGCTTTCTGGGCCTTGAGTACTTCGCTTCGCAGATCGGCAATCGTCTCCTCGTACCGTTCCGCGACCTCTTTCTCGATCTGACGTCTCCTTGCTTCATGAATGGAATCGTCATAGGCAATAGGGGGACCGATGAGGTCGTTGCCCTTCGTAGATGCGGTGATACCGTCGACACCAACAGGTCTTGAGGAGCTGGCAGATGCTGTGGACTTCGATCCCAACATCCCGCGACCCTCCAAGAGTTCGCGTAGCTGTCGATCACGCACGGCTGCCGCATCACTTTTCCCATGAAATCCGCTTGGTATGCCGAACAAAGTGGCTGCACTAGGCGTGGAACGCGCAAGTGCTGGGGTGCTAATACCTGGCACGTAGTGCTCGGGCATTGCATCCGCCACGATTGGCATTGAATTGCGGCCAGTGAAGAAGTTTCCACCGGTAAATGGAATTCCATCCATCACAAGGTTCTTGTCCTTGTCCGATTCCGAGAATGCGAACTTCTCTTTGGCGACTGGACTAACTTGACTTGGGGACCGTAGTTCAGGGGATCGTACCTCATCTCCTACGGAAAATGCAGGCATTACTTCCTTTCCTACGTGCTCCCAGCCAGACTCAGTAGTCCTCGAAGACATGGGCATGCTCGAAGGTCGCGTCGCTCCTACTTGATTGGAGTTTCGTGCTGCCTCCAATTCGCTGCGTGTCCTCGCTTGAAGATCTTCTTGTGCTTTGAGCGTTTCCTGAGTTCACTCAGCTCGTCGTGCAAGGTAGGCAATGATCGCCTTGCATGATCTTCATTCTGATGAAGTCGTTCCTCTGCTTCTTGCATCCTCTTCACAGCCATTTTGCGGTACTCTTCCTCTTCACCAAGACGTTCGCGAAGCCGAAATCGTTCTTTTTCAATGGCTGCGCTGTTTCCAGCTAGCCCTTGGATCTCGTTCACAGCCCGCAACTCCTGGTTCTTGACCAAGTGGAATCGTTCCTGCATTGCTTGTAAGGCTTGTTCCGAACTTGATGTGTTTGACCGGAGGACCAAGTTCTCTCTGGCATGTTCATGAAGTTCATGAGTCAGACGCTCATACTCACGTGCCATAAGCTCACCATCGCCTTGCGCTATTGCCTCCAACTGCACAAAGTTAGTGGCTGCCTCCGTGCGGAACACGTGTAGCTGTTGAGCTAACTCCTCGGCAACGGCATGTGCTTGACGTTGTTGAGCAGAGTTCTGTTCATCCATGCGAAACAAAGCTGTTTCATAGTCCCGCTTCATCTCCTGATTGACATTGTTGATGTGCCTCATGGCTAAGCATGCATGGTCACGTTGTCGTTCCAATTCTTCAATGCGAATTCCAGATCCTTCATCTTCTTGTTGCATCTCCTTGATCTTGTCCATCAGGGTCTGGACGACTCCTTCGTATTCTTGCATCTGACTGCGATAGTACATCTGCTGTGCAAGGTTCGATGCTTCGAACTGTTGCGAAATCGTCAATTCCTGATAGGCATTCGGACCATCAGCTATGGCAGGCGTGGCCACGGACGACGCATCACCACGTGCAGGAATCGTATCCAGAGTCATATCCAGATCGTCAGCATCGCGTGGTTGATTGGTAACCATCCGATTCCAAGTCATGGATTTGTCACGCCCACGAGTGGCTGAGGTCCTCGATCGTGCTGAAGAGCTTCTCGAAGATGATGGCCTTGACTTCTTTTCCAAGGTCTTGACTCCTTTGTCCTTGGCCCTGGACGTAGTCCGAGGTGCCTGAAAACCAGACGCTTCGGCCCGTCGTTCTGAAGCCTTGCCCGTCCTCGAACCTGTGGATGTCGGACGCGAAGGCGTAGATGCTCTTGGTAGACTCTTTGCTTTCCCCTTGGGAACTGCCTTTGCAATGGCAAGCGCAGAAGATTGACCTTTGTCATCTTCCGTGGAGCTATCAACGGATTGCACCACTGTGTCATCAGCTGTTGACTCACCAACGGCTGGCGCTGCCACATCGGCACCGAAAGTCATTGTCGTATCTTGGCTTGATCCGAGTTCATTGTGGTCGTAGTAGATCAAGTAGTCGTTGCTGTAGAAAGGCAGAGCCGCGTACGGCTGATAACCTGCGTGGGGGATTGATCTCGACTAGGTTGCTGCTCTCCCCACCAGAGCTGTAATGAATGTAGGTGTGGCTGGCTTGCACTCTCCACAGACTGGACCCTGTCTCTCCCTCTTACTTCCACACGTGCAATCCTATGCAGGCAGAACCGGCGGCCGTTCCTTTTGCACTCACTGCCGGCGGCGGTTCGTCTGTGCAACGGGATAGCTCTGATTGCTCAGGATAGAAGACACATATAGCACTTAGCTATGGGCATTGACTTGAGCCAAACGTTGCGTGGGCGGTCACATAGAAAGGTAAAGATGAGGGATGCGTAGCATGCCCCCTTAGAGTCGAGGGACGCGTAGCGTGCCCCCTTCTCTTGCACTTTACACGGTCTTGCTCACAGCTCTTATAGTGACACCTTAGAACTTGACAAGGCATCGCAGTCCGTTCGCATAAAGAGATGTCCCCACGCGACTGTCTCACTTTGTAGCTCAGTAAACTCAACAAGCCCAGGTCTTTCTGACTCTTGAGATTTTGCCAGCCAAATCCCCAAGGGTCCAAAGGACCCAATAATCAGGTACTCGGTTTTGGGATCGTAGTTACGTAGGTTAGGATTTTGGAGAGTATATGATTATCAGGTACTTGGACCCCTGGGGAATATGTTACTTTGACTGGGGCCACTATCATAAGGATAGTACTTCTTGCGATACGAGGAGTGGGCCCCCTGTGCCTGACAATTCCATTACGATGCAGAATACGTTCAGGGGCGCCAAAGTCGGTTTAGGGTTTAGGTTAGGTACGGCCCCCTTACAGTAAGAGTCTATAATAGGGCTTCTATTAAGGTCCAAATATATCTATATTATGAATATTTTTCAACTATTACTGAGTGGGGGCCGTACCTAAGGTTTAGGGGAAGACCATCAACAACCCAAGCAGGATTTGAGAGGAGACAGCTACTGCAAACTGCAGACACTAGCCTGGCACACAGTGGGTGGGAGACAAGCAGGTACGGTACCGGTGCGTTTTGTCCAAGCTCCCCGACCGATACCGTTGTTTCCGTAGGCACGCAATCCCGAAGCATTTGCGACCACCGGCCCTGTCTTACCTAACCCCTAAACCCAAACCCCCAAACCATAACCCCTAAACCCTGAACCCCTAAACCCGAACCCCTAAACCCTAACGAACCCACTCCTCCAACTCTCACATGGCGAAATAGGCAGAAACTTGATGGCCAAACGCAAAGAACCAACGCCGAAACCCTGAAGCACGAAACTCTGCATCGAAACCGTGAACTAAACCCTAACCTCTAAACCCCAGAGCCCCCATTCCAGAACCATCCCATATTTTTGGCAGAGGTGCATTTGATGTCGCGGTGGGCGATACCATGGTCCTCAGTCGTGTTTGGGGCTTGGGGCATGTAAACGATGACGGGGTGACAAGCCTGAATTAGGGCTTGGGTTTTGGGTCTGAGGCTTAACAGGCTTGGTGCCATGATGCTTTTGGCTGGGGGTTTGGGATACAAGGCTTTCGTATTACGCTTGTCTGATGGGTGGCTACGGTGGGTCATCTTGCGTTTGTCCCAGGTGTCTGTGGCACATTACCGAGGTTGTCAGGTTGCGCATATTTTACACTCGTCTCGCGGATGATAGCTTCTGCGCTGTCAGATTCGCATGCATGGTGCATGTAACCCTAAGGGTGCATGTACCATATAGAGATACATGAGCCCCAAAGTATCTGTATAGGGACTACATTAACTACATTAAGGCCAATGTCTATACAATATGAGTACATGGACCCTCAGGGTAAAATAGTATGGCTCAGGAGGCGAACAAACCTACACCCCAGCCTGAACCCCAAAACCAAAACCCACCCTTACACTTGATCCCACACCCTCAGCACCGTAAGGCCGCGGAGCAACGTAAACTGCTGTCTGCTAAGGCTGCACGACATCTCACAAATCAGCTCTCGCATTTTATACTGTCATACGAAAACATACTATAGTATACCATAATATACTATCATATGATTCTCTGTAAGCCTCCTGTGCCGGGAGACACTTGTTGCGGGCCGAGATGCATGAACTGTGGCGATGGCTTCGACCATCTGACAAGGCTCTCACACAATGAACCAGAAAGACTACTATAGGAGCCTTAATAATTAGAATAGGGTCCCTTTCAAGGGGGTCGATTAAGGGCTACATTAAGGGATCTATGAGGGTACTATACTATAGGAGCCTTCATAGAATAGGGTTTCGGGGCCCATTATGCTACATACATACAATAAGGAACCCCCAAAATATTATAGGTAGCTAATTATTTCGGGCCCCATCTTATCCCAGCTACAGGCTGTTTAGGCCAAAGATGCACGTGGAATCCAGAGCTTTTAGGGAACAGTATCCCTAAGGGTCCATGTACTCATATAGTATATACATTGGCCTTAATGTAGTCCCTATACAGGTACTTTTGGGGCTCATGTATCTCTATATCTATATGGGTACACGGACCCTTAGATTATGTCCACGGGTACAGCGATCTGCATCCTACAGTCTAAAACGAGATTCTCACGCCCCGGGGATCCAGTGATCCAGTCTGAATCAGCTGGCTTCGGTTTAAGGTTTAAAGTCAGCATACCCCTAAACCCTAAACACTCCGTAAACCCTAAACCCTGCGACATTCACCCTTGTCCTTTTAGAAATAATAGACAGTGACAGGGCCCTATACCTATATCCCTTAGTAGGAATTATTTTAAGAAGGCCTACTAGCCGGTCTGTTTATTCTTTTGGGGGAACCATGAAAAAGGACAAGGCTGGCGACATTCACCGAGATGGAGACCCAACTCCTGTGTTTGGACGGAACTAACAAAGCTGAGTTCGTCTGTAGTGTGACAACTCACACAGCAGCGCAAAGCCGTCGTAAGAAGCTCAGGACGGTCTAGGTTTGCAAGAATGGTAAGGACTAGGAGGTCTACAGTAAACGCCATAAAGTTGGAATATGATTATCCTAAGCCCTGTATGGTAAATTATGGGGTATCCTACCCTGAAACCATATTCCATCTTTCTTTTGAGCTTTAAAGGGAATCCAGAAAGTTGGAATATGGTTTCAGGGTAGGATACCCTATAATTTAGCATAAAGGGCTTAGGATAATCATATTCCAACTTTCTGGCTTTTACTGTAAGCCCTAACAGGTGGTCCCGCAGCGCCTGAGATGCGAACCAGGCCATCTCGGCTTCAGAAAGGCATCCGCAATGCTTGATCTCCTCCCACCTCGGGCTTTAATGGCTGCAAGGGTTTATAGGGTCTAACATAGGGGCCTTGATAATCAGAGCAGGGTTTGGGGGCCCTTTATATTATTATTATTATTATTACTATTATTATTATTATTACTATTATGATTATGATTATTATTGTTATTATATTATCATAAAAGAAGGAACCCCCAGAACAATGTCGGCGATAATTTAAGCCCCTTCGGGCCCAGGGGTTGAGGGCCTTCGGCTGTCGGTGTGGGACGCAGTACCATCTGGAGAAGTCAAAAGCGCTTTGAGGGTTTAGGGTTTAGGGTTTAGGGTTTAGGGCAGAAGCCGGGGGCCAGTGATCTTCTAGCGGAAAAGCTGTAGAATTGAAAGGAGTGGTAAGAGCTACGAATAAACCATGAACACCAACCCTATAGTTATATGTTCTACAATGCTGTCTATGACTGCTGCTGCCACTGTTGATGCTGTTCGCGCTGAAATCGACTGCCACAAAATGCCCCGAATCCGTACCTCGAAGCCAGTGGCCAGATGAGGACATTATGGACCCCCACAAGCCTTAAATGTAAAACTCCTCAGCAAGAAGCTGTCAATCCTAAGAGACCAAATCTTAACGCGAAAAGAGCCAAGGAGAGCCCCAAAGTTCTTGAAGCCTGCATAATGCGGGAACCTGATTAAGAAATTTTGGGTCTTTATTAGGGTTCCTTACTATTTTTAACGGTTAAAGGCCCAGGGATTCCTAATCAGGGTCCTACATTGGACGCTCTGGGCATTCACTCCTCCCACCAGCCGCAAGTTGTGGGCCATCGCATTCGATGCACAGGTTGCAAGCGCAGCCAGCATGTGCACAGTTTTATCACCCTCAATAAGTTTTGTAGGGGTTGTACAGGCTTCAGGCGTTGATGCGAGGTACGGCATTGCCATGTCTTCAGTGTCAAAGACGCTAAGCCTTGAATCCTGAACCCAAACCCTCAATGCTCAAAGACCCAAGCCCCATGGCCTAAACCGCTGAAGCCCTAGACCCCACCTGACCTGAACCAAAATACCTAAACGCCTGAAGCCCTACTAGGATGCCCAGTAACCTAGGAATAAAAAGGGCTCCTTTTTTTGGTATTGGGTAACTTTAAAAGAGCCTGGGACTACGAAAAGGGAAAAAGGGCCCACTGGGAGGCCTAGCCTATGCAAACAAATTTTCAACCCGGCAAGCCTCAGAATCCCCAGACTCCAAGCCCCAATGTTGCTGATTTCCAGGCCTCATAAAACCCTTACTAAACCCCTGACGGCCCTAAGCCCAAATCCCTAAGCCCCCGATATTACTATCAAGGATTCTTTGACTCATTATGACGAGACCATAAGATGTCTGCAAAACCCTTTCTAAAACTCCCAAGACCTAAATCCCTGAACCCCAGACCCTACATCCCTGCCCCCATCTTGCCAGAGACCCCTACATCCCTTTACTTGAGGAATGTACCTTAAATCATATCACGAACCCTACTACAATTTAAGGCATATTCCTAGCCTTAATTAAGGGATATTGGAGTCTCTGGGTTGCTGATCACTACTATTTGCCTAACTTTAATTAAGGGATATTGGAGTCTCTGGGAACCCTAAACCCTATAGATCCCTTAAAGGAACCCGAAGCTGATCTCCAAGCCGCAGCTCTCCACCTTCGCACAGCTCCAGCACTCCTCGGAGTGATAGATCCCTTAGCGGGGTCCCTTTAAAGGAACCCTATAACAACCCTAAACCCTAAACCCTAAGCCCTAAACCCGAAACCCTAGACCCTAAGCCCTAAACCCGAAGCCCTAAACCCGAAGCCCTAAACCCTAAGCCCTAAACCCTAAACCCGAAACCCTAAACCCTAAACCCTGAACCCGAAACCCTAAACCCTAAACCCTGAACCCTAAACCCTAAACCCGGAACCCTAAACCCTAAACCCTAAGCCCTAAGACGGAACACGGGTCGACTCAGGGGTTCGGGCTAGGTCCCATAGCTTAGAAAAAGGGGGTTTGGGGACTTCGGGTTTAGGGGTTTATGGGTTTAAGGGTCTAGGGGTTTATGGGTTTAAGGGTCTAGGGGTTTAGGGGTTCAGGGGTTTAGGGGTCTAGGGGATGCAGGGGTTTAGGGCCAGTTCCTAGAGGTTAGGAGAAGGGTTCTAATGTGGGGGCGGTAACAGTGAGACGAGACTGTTGGGGTATCTTATGGTTTAATCAGAATAAAGGATCTCAGGGCACAAAACGGGCACTTTTTTTTCAGGCCTCTATGTTGTATTGTAAGGGCTACCATGAGGGGGCTCGGTAAGGGCTACTATGAGGGTTCTATCCGGGTTAGTGCAGAGAAAGGCTCGAGTTCGGCTCCTACAATAAGAACATGACAGGAGCCGCCGGATCTCCAGTGAATCTGCGATTGCTTGAAGGCCCAAACCCCCTTTCACCGAGCCCCCTAAACCTCTAAACCCCTAAATCCTAAACCCTAAACTCCCGGGAATGGACCGGAGCGACTAAAGCGGAGCCTCCAAATCGGAAGGTTGCGTGTGCTATACGCCAAGTCATGCGTAAGGAATCCGAAGCCCTACGACCCCCCCTGCCTATTCCCGAACCCTATAAATCCTGAAACCTACATAGTCCTATAATTAATGCCCATAGAGCTCAAAAACATTTCAACAACAACCGCAGACTTGAAACCCCAACCTGGCAAAGCTCTGAAAGCCATGTCTCCCAACCAGTCAGCTGGACCGTGGAATTCGCAGAAGAGCGTAGCTACGCATGGGCTCGCCTCCTGGCCCCGACCAGTACTTGGAGGTTCATGGGTACCCATAGGCCCCAAAGTAGTTCCTTTTTGGGATTACCTAATAAGATTCTATATATGAACCCCAAAAAGGAACTACTTTGGGGCCTCTGGGTAGGAATAAGCAGGGTGATATGTAGGGTAACTAAACTAAAAAACCATATTAGGGGACTTGCAACCCCACTTATAACTACCCGTGAATCTCCAAGTAGACGGTTGAAACTTCGATCATGGTGGTTTCGTCCGAGACATGGTGCTCGGAGTCGGTGTGGCTGTCTGAATTCGTAAGCGTGCAGAGCAACAAAAGGGGTAGTTGTCAAAATCAGGGTCCCTTTTTGGGTACGCCGAATTAGAGGTGCCCTATTGTTACTATTGTATTAAGGATTAGGGTCCCTTTTGGGTATCCCGAATAAGAGGTGCCTATATTCAGGACCCAAAAAGGAACCCTAATTCCGACAACCGCCCAAATGGAGAAATGGTCCTGTCGGAGCCGAGGCCCGGAACCCAGGACTCTGCAGACCCCAAACCCCTGCAGAACCCCAAAGGGTCCAAAGTACCCCAAGCCCTCAAACGTGCAGAGACTCTCGCCCCGAAACTCTGCGGAGCAAGACTTCGGAGGTTGGGAAACCCCAAGGGTCCATGTACCCAAACAGGGTTCCTTTAAGGGTTCCTATACGGGTCCTATAAGGGTTCTATAAGGGTTCCTATAAGGGTTTAGGGTTTCAGGGTCCATGTACCCATATAGAGATACATGAGCCCCGGACTACATTAAGGCCAATGAATATACTATATGATATGAGTATACGGACCCTTAGGGGAATAACCACGAGACTGTGGCGACGCATCCCCCCAGAGCACCGGCAGGCGAAAGTGGCGAAAGTCCCGAAAGTAGTAATTTCCCAATCCCCCAACCTTGAAGCCCTACGCATGCATACACTTCTGCCGCAGAGCCTATACCTAGAAAACCACCCAAAGGTTTAAAGAGCCCTGAATTGATCAAAGCGCTAAGCCGTAGATTAGAAAAGACCCTAAATCCTGAAAGGAAGCCAAAGGGTCCAAGCTCCAC